CACCTGGACTAGAGATTTCTAGAACTATCGGGAATACCTGAAGAAAAGTATATAAGCGACGACGAGAACCAGACCGGGGGAGTGAAGTGACAGCCGCGCCTGAGTGCAGAAGAAGTTAAACCCGCGAGTCGGAAATCCGTATTTTCCGTGTGTTATTGTTATCGTTTGTGAAGTTGACATTAATTTTAGAAGTTAGTTTGTTCCTGTTCCGTAGTTAAAGTTGTACCGAGTGGAATAAAAGTTGTAAGTTGAAGAAAGAATTTGATACTCGGCCATCCACGGTACAATATGTATGATATAATCTTGCTGTATTTTTTTCTCTAGAAACCCGTTAATTATTATTGGTTTGTTTTAGATTCCCAGTGAAGGATCCCAGAAAGCTAGCTCTTTGGGTGCAGAAAATGCATATTGCAGATTGGGAACCTACAAAAAATGATAGGCTTTGTTCCAAACACTTCGAACAGAAGTCTTTCTATAGAATTAGTAACAGAACTTGCCTTCTTGATGAGGCAATACCGACAGTATTTGAAGAATTACCATCATATCTTCAGGAAAAGCTAAAACCAAAGCGAGTAAGTCGATATTCATAAATTGATTACTCATTAAAATAAACTCAAAATTTTATTTTGTAATACAATTTTGTTGGTCTAGGCAATGAAAAGGCTCCGTCCACAAACTGACCAACCTTCTACTTCTGCTACTCCGGATCTTGACATATCTAGAGACAAAAGTTTGGAAGACACTCCAAGAAAAAGGCGCATAAGGAGACAATTATTCCAAGCAGTAAGAAGAAGTAGTGATAAATCTATAAAGTTGAAGCAAATTCGACAAACGGTAAGACGCTGCAAAAAGAAAATAGTGTCTCTAAAACAAATTTTAAAAGCGTTAAGGGAAAAAGATTTATTATCATTGGAACATTCTAGTTTGCTCAAAAATTTACCGAACATAAATAAAGAACTAATAAAACGGAAATTGGGGAAAAAGATCAAATATTCCCCTGAACTGAGGAAATTTGCTATTACTCTAAGTTTTTTCTCTCCCAAAGCATATGACTATGTTCGGCAAGTTTTTGATACTTGTTTGCCTCATCGAAGCACTATCGGCAAATGGTTTAAAAATGTAAATGGGAAACCTGG